TGAACAGGGCACATCACTGTTTGGGGATTTTGCCCAAGTCTGTACGATCCCTCCCCCTTAGTTCCCTCCTCTGACATGATTGAGCTGTCGACAGGGCACATTATTAGTTGGGGACTTTGATCGAATCCGTACGACACCCTCTTTTTTAGAATGTTGGTACGACCCCTCCCCTCCCCTCCCCTTGGCCCCTCCTCATCGAGCTGTCGAGCAGTGGGGTAAACAGCACATGTAAAACGCGAGAAACCGCGAGGGAAATGCGTCCCCCCTCAAAACAACGAGCAAACATGCACAAAGCATATGCGGTATAGCATAACGCCCCATGAATCAAGAAAATTTCTCCCAACGCTGCAAATTCCTCTCAGAGGGCAATTACGACCTCTTCCCACAACGAGCAAATACTACCCCCTCCCCCTCCCTTCAAGCATCCGCGAAACAGGGAAATTCAACTACCAAAAAACTCACCCCCCGACGAAATACGACCCCCTTGCTGGGGAATCCCCAACGATGAACGATTATAACAGATTCCTAACATCCATGATCGACTTTCAATGAATCTTGGCATCGTGTGAGGTCCTTCTGATTAGATGGTGCATCTAATCAGAAAGATTCCCAACAATTTTCACTATCGATGGTGCATAAGCGGTTCAGACCATAGTCACCATTCGAGGACACTACAAACTGGCCAACTATTTAATTCATGGCTACGAGCATCTCCACTACCTGCAGTGCAGTCCAACCCGTCAGGGATGGGTTAGAAAACCCTACTTGTAGGACAATAGTACCGATTTCAGGGTAAAAGGAGCAGATTACAATAGAAAAACTGAACTAACCTTTGGTGTCCTTTTCGCTATATCATCTACGAGCAACGACCAATGTCGAATTAACGCTGTCATCCAAGCGACTGCAAGAAGACGGTTTGGGGTATTGACTTTACGAGCACGGAAAACACATCATAATTCGTCGGAACTGCTTTCCTATGTTATTTTTTCTATTCCTCCCTCTAGTTCTCAGCAAAATCAACAAAGAACGTATTCCAGCTCTTTTGTATCTGTTTTCTGATAGCTGCCGTTTGAGTCAGCGTTCGACTTTACCGACGCAGCGTCTGGTCCGCGTTCAACGATGGCATTGGCTTTGGCGATAGTGCAGCCGATTCGCCGGTCAAACGCTGCGACAAAGCGCCGCGCGTCGCAAACTCTGCACGCCGCCTAAGGCCCCTGTGTTAGTTTCGAATGTACAGCAAACGCTGGAATCTTGTACAAAAAGACTGACTACAGACGCGGATTCGATGAGAGTGCGTTGCAGAATTGCGATCTGCGCAGATCTGGATTCGGGCGGTCGGCGAGTATCTGAACGCGGCTCTCGAAACTTGTTGTACGAAACTCACTCTTCATCTCCAAGCTACTGTTATCGAGAGAGTGCTGGTTGACTTTGCCAATCAGTTGAGCTTTCCACTCAGAGGACATATCACGACGAGTACCGAATCCAATGCTGTAACATTTCAATCAAGCAAGATTGATCAATTTCAATTGAAAGAACCCAATTTATCGCCAGGAACTATGTTTTCTAAAGTGCGAACAAAAAATGGAATTCTAGAGAATGACGGCGATACCCAAGCTGTCCGCGTCGTTTAATTACTGCTTTAAAAACTCAGAGTTATCGAAGAAATATCGGAAGGAGTCTTATGGGGACCTATTCAAAGAGCTAATGAAAGTGCAAAGATATAATGTACCTAAAGATTTTCTTCACACTCTCTGGAGCATCTTTTAACACATCAAGACCTTTATATGGATAACGAGGGGCTTGGAGATCCAAGTCAGGCAAACCAAACTTTACTCGATCCGCCACCTAAAAAGTTTATCTAAAAGATCTTCATCTATGTAGCCACAAGGAATAACCTAAGAAACTGATACTTTCGATTACCAAGTTATCCTGGGCTTTCAAGCCTAAATCACGCTCCGATCCAACCTTCTCATAGTACAGCTTTCCCAAAGCATCGATGTAGTTATCGTCTGCAAGAAGAGAGGTTGAATCGAACGCTTTTGTTGTTTTCATATGAAAACTCCGTAAGAGTACAAGTTTGAAGAGATAATCAAATTTGAAAAGCACGTAAGTTGTATGGCATTATGAAACAAAAAGAAAAAAATTACCTAATGGCAACTGTCTTGCAGCCTTTTCAAAGTAGTCAGGATCCTGCTTAGCTGGATCAGTGACTTTCTTGTGGATATTGAAAAAGACGGTCCGACCCCGTGATAGCGCTGCCGAGTAATGGAGAGTACGACGTGAAATCGACTGCATCACGATCGGCAACTCTGAAACAGTGATCGAGCAATCCAACGCAAGTTTGACTCATATTCAGCGATATTCAGCGAGCTAAAATACTACTCAGTGTGCCGTTGGGGATGGTCCAGTGAGGGGTGGTCGAGTTCGATGCTGGAGGGAGGGGAGCCGTATCTGCTTCCGAGCAAAGTTCTCGGTTGTTAATTTTTCTCAACTTTTCCTGGTCAAGTGCGTTACAAACCGCATTCTTCCTCTTCGACAGCAATTTTGTGGCTAAGAAGCGGGTAGTTTTCGGAACCTTTTGGAAAATAGAAAGTAGAAGGTAGGATGGTAGATGAGGAAGTGGGACCAAAGAAAACACCTCAAAGGGGTTGAAGGGGTGTTATATTTTGCAAAAAAAAATCCATGGCTGTTGCAACTGTTCAAAAATGACAACGAATCTGGCCGACTGAGGTGCCAATAGAAAAGCTTTTGGAGCCCTTTCAGGACGTTGACGATGACAATTTCGTCGTAAAGTCAGACAATAAACGGCTCCATCTTAACAACCTGTAAGCCATCAAAAACGGAGTCATAATCTCAATGCCAAAGTTCCAAGAACACAGATCTCGGTAGCTGTTTCGCAGAATGACTACTTTTGTCGCAGGAAGTCTACTATTATTGGTATTTCATCTCTTTGAGCTCCTGATTCGCTTCAAAGAGATATAGTTCTGTTCTAGAAAGCGAGTATTTTCCAAAAGGATGTCCCGCATTCGAAAATAGTGTGTTGTGTGACTCAGTGTCTGAGCCGACAGATGGCGAATAAGCACAAGCTGGAAAAAAAGAAAACCAGGCAGAATTACTTTCTACAGGACCCCATGCAGAATCACGCTTGTGCATAGGGCGAAGCAAGCGATTCTGACGAGTTCTCCCTTGTGGGGACCTTATCATCTCACAATCACCATTAGAAATGAAACGGTTCAGTAGCGGAACAAGTTCGCCATCAGGTAGCAGTCAAAAATCAAAGTTGGGCTTTGCCCTGGCCAAGGGGTGGAGTCTCGGTCTTGTCGGAGCGGTCGCGCTTTCCTCACGTCCTCTTGAGCTACGAATGCAGCACATCCTCCATACAGTACGGTAACTTCAGTAGGCGAGAAATCATACACCGTACCCCCAGGGGAGCCGTAAATAAATCTGAATGCACACCAAACACAGTATCTCACGACAAAAGCGTCAAAACTGCCTGGGTTACACGCTGTGTGTTGCGATGCGAAGGAGAGCGAATAGAACGATTGCATGGAGTAGTGCTCATAAGATCTGTAGGCCTGCTGGATGCTCCAGTACATCTTTTTTCTGCACTATTGAACTATTCCTATCCCAAAAACTCAAAAAAGTTTTCGCTAAGACTTTGTCTTCAGATGTTATTCGATGGCATGATCACCAATATATCATTAATTTCTGGCGCTTTCCTCACCAGAATCGATGAACCTGTGTAATAGGGTTGCTCGAAGCCCTTATCACGAGTGTGGCATTTATTTCTCCATACCACTGCCATTAAGCGTTCTGTAAAGGCTGAACGTGGGAAAATGAGTGATCAGCGCAGATGATCATGGTGTCCTACGTTGGCGCCGGCGGCAGGAATAAATGCCATATTCGTAATAAGAATGTCAAATAACGTATACAAGGCTCAGCGACGGTTTTGGCCCAAGCGGATGTGATATTCATGTTCAGGGGTCAAATTACCACTAGGGACAAGTTTTCAGCGAATCTGGTGGTACAGGATATTTTGGCGTGGACACCGAGAACGCAGTTTGTAGAGTAAGTGAAAAAATTTTGGTTTTTTTCAATTTAAAACTAGGTGTTCAGAGTCGAAGTACCCCTATGAGCAAAGCAATTTTTTCAACCATAATTCTGCCCTGTACGGGAAAGTTGCGTAAAAACTGGCCCTGATTTCTGCAGGACGGGTAGGAATTGTCTCAATAGTTGCCACAGAAATTGCCTTCGATGACATTGCAGTGCGAGTCTTTATCACATTTGCAGATGGTCGTTCGTCGACGGACCTCCCTGCCTTCATGTTATGCTAGTCAAGTCATGTCTAACTCCTCTCCTAACACTCATGGAGGCGGGGCACCTGTAGATTTGTTTGGGTCTTCATCATTCAAGGTTGTGCTGGCGTAGGAGACACTCGTCCACGCCGATTTTGCTCTCTCATCACATAAGTAATAAATATTCCACTGAACCGCCTTCTGTTCTGCAAACGGCTAAAAGCCCAGTCTTCAGCATCCATCCTGGTCATGCAGCAGGTACCGTATTAAAGCATTATCCAGATGAAAATGCCACGAGACTTCTCGAAAACTGGTCAGGTTGGCAGACATAAAAATAGTTTGTTAGCATGTTTCCTTCACAGGTCCGCATTCATTCCGTGATTAATGCCCTGCTTCTTTCGTTAGTGTAGTGGTTTTGATCCTTATATCTAATGAGAGGATGAGCTTCTTTGCCGTGTGCTCAAAAGTGCCTGCTTGCTTCTGTTGGTTCCGTGCGATCCGAGGAAATAATGACGAGCATAGTTTTTTTTGAACAAAACCGGTACGAGTGCGAGATTTATAGTCAGCCTTATTCGCAGCTTTAAGGATGAGCTCGCAGTTGAAGTTCATAATACTCTAGGCATTTCAGGACCAGTGCCGAAATAAGGAGACAAAGTTGCGCAGTGGGCAACAACGTTCAGTAATCTGTAAGGCTAAAAATTCCCCATTGCGATGCAGCTGTGCTGTCCTTAAAACCCTTAACATTCTTATTTGATTGAGAATTGAGACAAAACTACTTGAACTGGGTTGCGATGGGCTGCTTCATAATTCTCGCCTGCGTTCGAGCATTTTTTGCGAAAGCTAAAGTTAGCTATCTACCTAGCATGTTAAATCTTCTCAGCGAAATGCAGCGTTTTGAAGAGTTTAGTGTAGGTGTCGATCGGTGCTAAGAACACCAGTTAGACACCTATTCTTTTCGTCCGTAACGTTCAAAAATGTTCGAGCTAACAGCAGCCGCAACACATACCCGCGGTACCCACGCAATTTTAGCGTCGTTGTCGTGAGATACTGTGCTTAGTGTGCATTTAGATTTATTTACGGCTCCTTTGGATTACGGTGTATGATTTCTCGCCTACTGAAGTTACCGTACTGTCATCCTCCATGCGGGTAGCGCCACAATGTCGAAAGAATGCGTATGACATCGAATGAATATAGAGGGTGCCTTCAAGCCTTGCATTGGACGCGATGTCTATTGGCTTCTACGCACATTTTGTAGAATTAGTGACGTCTGGATGCAATCGATCGCGAATACAATACTGTCGCTTTTGCGTTCACAAATAGCAAGCGGGCATAGTTTGAGCTTCACCCCATTCAGTTTAATTAATTTTTAACTCTCTTTGTTTATACGGGTCAGAGACTCCCCTCTGGATGCGAATTGCTAGCCTTCGGCCGGGCTTTCTCTCACCATCCTGCGAACCCCCCCTTTCATTGTCGCTTCAATGGCAGCCGACTATCAGAGTCTGCCAACTTACCATGGGACGTTGAAGAATGGAGCTGGGTAGATCAGCAGAGTCTATAAGGTTATTTACAAATATAGATAGCGAAACTGCAACCTGCATTTCACAAGCAACTTGGAGCAGGTAAAGTTTGTAATGGTGCAGTAGGGTGGAGGCTTGGTGGTGAGCTGTGAAGCATAAGCGAGGAATCGCATACGTCGAATCGAGTCGTCGAACGTCGAACCTTACCACTGAACCACCACTCGATTCGACGTATGCGATTCCTCGCTTATGCTTCACAGCTCACCACCAAGCCTCCACCCTACTGCACCATTACAAACTTTACCTGCTCATAAGTTGCTTGTGAAATGCAGGTTGCAGTTTTGCTATCTATATTTGTAAATAACCTTATAGACTCTATCGATCTACCCAGGTCTCCATTCAAAGTTCCATGGTAAGTTGGCAGACTTTCCTGGTAAGCCACAAAAAGCAGGAAAGCTTAGATCAAGTGTGAGTGTCACCTGATTCGTTCTCGGATACTGCCTCTTATTTAGATATTTTTATAATAGGATAGGCAGGACCTGCACAACACCTCGGTTGTAACAAAGCACACACCATCTTCCAGTCTGCTAAAATACCCAGCGTGGTGCCAAAATACTCATTCCCAGAAACGAATTTCAGCAGCGCTATCTCCAATACAAACACCGCCAAACCCTGGTGACCAATACAACGGCAGGAGTGCCACGGCTTCAGCCACGAATAAGCCGTACTACTTATATTATTGTAAATCCGGTCTCTCACCATTACAACCCTAGGAATTGCAAATGATCCTCAGTTGTTCCACGACCGGCATGCTCAGCCCAGTGCTGATTAGCCGTGAGGATAAAAACAACAGTTCTCGGCGTTGACAAACCCTTGTGGAGCGCATTAAGCAAACAACCTCTGTTTAGATTCGCACAGGTATTTTTATACGTTTTTGGTCCTCATAGGAGCCAGTCCACATCCCCATCCGTACCGCTGAGCACATTGACAAATTTATCTTGTCCTTTCGAAATATATAGGACCGCAATAGAGCGGATCATTCCACTATGGTGTCCGCTCCGATCAATACATATCTTTATGTTACAAGTTATGAGTAGCTTATCAAGATATGCAAACAATGAAACAATCGCAGGTTCACAGGGACGGACATATCACTCTAGAAACAATGTCATAGCGAGTACATAGTCGTCGTGATTCCATTAATCCGCAACATACTGAGAAGAAGTGACACAGTGTGAGCTACGACAGGTAAAGATAATAATTTTAGAAAAAAAATATGATAATGATCAATAGCCAAAGTAATGATATGAACATAGAAAAGTGCTATGATGAGGCTGTGATAGTGGAAGAGCAATAGGAGTACGAAGAAGGCACCTCATTAGACCATTTCGACATTACCACTATTTATCCGAAACATGGCAACGTTTTTTGGGCTCGGCGTACTCGAAAAAGTGCCGTAACCGTTGTCGCTCAACTGCGACATCGCGTACGACTAACTCATTTGAGAACAACCAATCGATATCTGTTATAAATGTATTGCTTTATAGAATAAGTCGACTGTGGATGGGTTCGAATGGCATATTGCGTAGATGAGAAGAAAAGGTTAAGCATACATATTAAAAATTTTCTAAAAAGCATAGCACACGGCTAGTCTAATTCTTTTACATGTTTTCGTATTGATCGATTCTTCGTTTCGTGTTTCCGCCACGAATTTGACGCAACGTCTTGTATTTGTCTCGACCTGCCCGCTTGTTCTCCATGTGCAGCACATCGTAATCGGTCACAGCGCGTTCATCTTTGACCACCTCCAGCTCACGTGTGAGCATCTTCAATGAATATAGATACATTAATTTCGTGCTATCAATGTGTAAGAGTCGCCAGCGAAGTTTTGATGCTGACTGAAGAAAACCGGTTATATTACCTCAAGCTTGGACTTTATGCTCTGGTTCTGCTCAGTAGCCGTTACTCGCTCCAACTCTCGCTGTGGCACGTGTTGATCAGCATCATTGGTGAGCTCTATAAATGAAAAGTTTTACCTTACTTAAAGCAAAGTGGCACGATAGATCGGCAAGGCGTACAGGGTCCATCCGCCTAGTACGAAAGAATTTAGTGCCCCCTAGCAAGCGCTACCTTTTGCCTTTTCCAACCAAAGGCACTGTTACAGCGCCTAATCAAGGTGCAGCATGCCGACCCAAACGCCCACCGCAACCGTCCCGCCCACAAATGACGGCACAGTCACGTCAACGCTGCGCCAGTACTTTTAGAGCTTCATTTATGAAGTACATTGATATGAAACGTTGCTACATGAATGTATGAGTACATACGCGTAGCCGTACCTATCAAAGCGGTTGTTAGCGCGATGCCAACGGGAAACTCCAAAAAGGTTCGACCAATGCCGAGAACTAAGGCTTTTGCAAAGGTTTTTGGCCGTATAACTTCGCCTTTCCCACTTTTTCGCACTATATAGCACCCTGCTAATATTTTGAGTAAGTACCACATTATCGTGTCCGTGCTTTTACAAGTACTGCTGGACCAACCCACCAGTAATGCCATTTTCATCCTCATCGGTGTGGTTTTCCTCACGAGTAAGCATTGTATGTTGGACCTGGAACAGCAACCATTATTATCCGTACATCGCTATCATAACCAACAGCTCAGGTTGAGCAGCTAGCGCCTTACGTGAGTGTGATGATTAATGACCGAAGTGTGCTTCATGACGGATTCACGTCTCGCCGACTCAATTTCGTCCTGAAGACGATGGGTGACTTCTGTTTGACGTTGTACTTCCGTGCGCATGGCATGGACCTGAACAGATAGTTTCTCGCCGAAATGCTTCAGTTCACAGACACAATCTCTAATAATAAGAGGTGGTAGAGCCAATTACCTCGCCTTCACGGATGGCAACTTCCTCGCGAAGCCTTCGCCGTTCTTCATCACTCATCATCTTTTCGGACTGCAACTGAGCGGTGAGCTCACGGAGCTCGATCTCCTTATTCTCAAGAGCCTCCTTCGCCTGGAATAGTTCAAATTGAAATTCTTGTGAATCAGACGACGGGAGTATGAAATGCAACTAGTTCAGAGTGGAGCATACCAGCTGCAACTGTCTGAGCTGCATTTCGAGGTTGTGAATGGTGTTCTGCGCCTCGAGGAGATCTCTCTTAGCACGTTCCATATCCTCAGCCATACGTCGCATACGATCTTCAGCTTCACGCTGACGTGCTTCGGCTTGCTCGCGAGCAGACATTTCCTAGACCACTACCAATTCAAAACGGCAAGCACTCGTACCCCAAGTCGTAAAGACAAAGTACAGTGGGACCTGGGACCTACTAATCACGGCAATCAAGTAGAAAAAGAAATTGGAATATGTCACCACGTATTGATCGCCTCTGCTGAGGTCTACAGAGATTCACTTCTGACTCGAGCCCCGTTGTCGGAAGGCGGAAGACAAAGTCTTCGCCGTTGTTCAAACCCTCGTTGGGATGCGGTACGCATTCTACTTCCATTCAGAATCGCAGTAGTTATAGAATGACATGTGGCCTATACGACACGCGTGGGCCAACCCTCGGATAGGTCAGTGTTGTTCTCCTCCCAGAAGAATCTGGACCCTGGGAACAGAAGTGTTTTGGGATAGGCGGGAGCCGATCCGGAATTTCACCCCGGACCGAGCGCGCGGTGAGCGTACCATATGCCACTACACCACCTCCGCCTAGAGGATGTGTATACGGTCTAGATATCCAAGAAAACTCGGTAACTACTACTTACAGACCTTATTTAATCTATCCTGCTCAGCCTGCTTCAAAGCTCGTTCCTCGCGGGCTTGCTGTTTCATTTGTTGCACCTGAAGCAGAATATTTTATAATAGAAAAACTGAAAAGACAAACAGTCTACAGGGAAAGATTTCCACAATCACTAACAACAAGAACACAAAAGCTAGATAAACAGTCGAGCATTCAGTTTCTTTTCTGGTGAACACGACAACTTCCTCAACAGACCTGGTACAATGCGATGAAATTCGAGATGAGTTCAGAGATACTTGAACAGTTTTGTTACTGTGAGCGGTGAGCGGCCATGCCAACGAATTATGCACAAATGTACTAACCTCAATAGTATCGGGCTTGCGACGACGCATGTACAATTCGTGGTTGCCCATACACAGTGCAAGAATACGTTTGTTAATGCGTAGTCGTGGAGCGTAAAACACGAAAATCCTAAACAGTTCCTGCTTAATCACAGAATAAGAAGAAACCTACAAATTATGCCACTTCAAATGTAAATGATTTCTTGGCCTCAGCTATAATATGATATTTCAGTCGAAGGCAAAATAATTTGGTGCTCGATTTAAAATGGTATCAAGGGTGCTATATAGTGGGATAGTGGGGAAAATGGCGAAAAAGCGAAGTGAAATGGCCAAAGACCAGCAAAACTCTTTTTTCAAAACGACTCATTAAGCGATTCCGGACGAGTTTCCCACTGGCATCGTGCCAATGACCGCAACGGTAGATACGGCTGCATGTTGTACTCGTATTTGCATGCAGCATCGCAGCCGCTTTATATCAGTCCCTTCGCTTCTTATTGTACTTCACAAATGGACCGATACAGGTATCAGCATCGATCGACATTTGTGGGCGGGTGGTCGCGGTGGGCGTACTGATGTGCAGCTTGCTAGGGAGCTACAGAGTTTTTCCTTCGAAAAAACACCACGCAGCTCCTGCTCACGAGCGCCAATTCCGTTCTTCTCGGTGCATTATCCTACACGACTTAGGGATTTATCATGTCACTTTCCTTCGCGCGACAACATAAGACTAACTCAGATCCGCTAGAGCAAAGCACTCAGCAGGCCTTAGAGCTTTTAATAGAAAAAAGCCTACTGAAAAGAAGCTCACTGACATTTGCCTTTCTGTCGATTGGCTTGATGACGAATTTTTGTCGTTGAACGAGATATTGCGGATCTCGGACCATGGGAATCCAACCTTCAACAGCTCAACGTACTCAGCTTACTTGAACACCACGAAGATCCTTTCTTCTTACCTTTGGAGTCAGCTTATCCGATTTTTCGTAAATATTGAGTCCTAGAGCATCTACACCGAGATACAGCTCCGTTCCCTTCTTGTTGCGTATTTCGAAATACTAAACACAACAATCACAGATAAAACAAAGGCCTGTCAAGGATTCAAAAGATGTAAGATTTCAATCACTCACATTGACACCATACATTTCGAGGTCCTGTGCTAGTTTCAGGTATTCAGCCATGGCTTGTTCGCGACTGGTTCCTTTGTGATCTGCCCACCAGGTCATGATTCGCTTTTCCCATTCGTCAGAGCTCATCTTGAATTGTCCAGCTACTCGTTGAGGAAGGAGCCTGAAAAGGACCTACTTATGAGTTTGTCAGTGGAAGAGAGGGCTCCGAAGCTAAAGTGCTAAAGTCAGGACGACAAATTTCAAAAGATGCTTCACCTATCCGCAGTGAGACAACCAGGTTTGTGGGTTTCTGGTTGGTAGTCACCGTACTTCGCTTGCATCGCAAATGAAGCTAACAGTACTGAAGTCTCGGGCGAGCAATACACTTCGTCGGATAGGATCGCATCTTTCACTTGCAAGTAGAACAAGCGCTGAAAGCGAAATTTCGCGAGTTCCGATCATAACTGATAAAAACACTGTTCAATTATCATTTTTGCAGGGAACGAACGACTTTCGCAGGTTCGTCTCCTACACTATCAATCAGGCCTCATAAATAATCTAGTTCACGAGTCACAATTCACAAAAAACTAGCCATAGGAAATTAGTCGCTGCATTGTGAATTCTGTAACACAGTAAAAAACTGCACAGCCGACTGGACCAGTTTCGAGCACGACATTTTTACTGCGAGGGTTACAAAGAATAGATGCTGCATTTTTGCTATCGTTGTTCCGGTTAATTTGTTTTTAGCTACTACCGAAGAACAAACCGATAATTAGAACAACTATTTTCAGACATTCTTCAGCTTCTTTCTTGTTTCCACCTCGGCACCATTGTTTATTTTGTTTATATGGCTCGGCCCCTGAAGGTTTGAGGTGGAACACTTTATTCAACGACCAGCCGCTTCAACTTGGTCGTTTTCCTCACAGGGCCTAAACGCGTTTTTAGGTTAAGAAATCTACCTCACTAAGGCCCAACCGACCCCAGCAGTCCCGGTGACGGATTCGGAACTCAACGAGAAATTCCTAAACAACACGAAATATGCATTCTCCACGGTCTCACCGTAGAACCGCTGTCACTCGCGGATCCCTTCCATTTGCTCAACGTCGCAGCTGCACAGTCAAATTTCAGCTATTTCCAGAAAGCTATTGCTGATGATTCTTCCCGGTATCATTATCATAACATTTTTGAAAATCAGGGATGATGCATGCCAACAATGGCCGTGAAATGCCTCCACCAACGCCTTCCGCAGTGAAATGGATTCCACAATCATTAATCATCAGAAGCAACGTCCTCATAGCGATACCATAATTCGCCAGAAACAGTGTCCCTATGATTTCCGGACCAAACCTTAAATTCCTTGCAACGACTTAGGCCGTCAATGATAGCTTCTCGGAATCAGCTATCAGTACACCGAAAAGTGTCATAACTGATATGATGAAATCGATAGCCGCGGAATGATGGACGTAGTACGGCCAAAAATTGATCCCTGTCCGTGACGAGCAGAATTCGTATCGCTGCAGTGATAACACATAGAAACTCGCAAAACTACGCGAAGATTTTTTCAATAGCACCACTTATACTGTGAAGCTTTCTGGGGAAATAACTACGACTTAGCCTCGTTCATTGTCTGTCAAGGGTTTGATCGGGTTCAAAGTTGTACCCTCGTACCCTGTTCTAGCAATGCGGGCAAGGGCAGGTAGTCAATGTAGCGGCCAATGTCACACATAAGCGGATCGTGTCCGAAATTTGACGGCCGACAATGCACCGATAATTCCAATAGCTAGCATTAAAACTAAATAGGTTGATGTAACTCCTATGAATCATCACAAATATACGGATGGACCTCAGCAGGTTGAAATAATTTGACTTTCGGGAAATACTTGGAGAATTCATGTTTCTTAAGAAAAAGTGAGTGGAATATGATCAATTACCATTGTGACGTCCTGTATGATCTCCTCTCCGACATCTTCAGGATAAAACTTGGCACGGAATTTGAACATAAGTGTGGAATCCTTTTTGACGTCTTGTGAGAGCACTTTCTTGTTCAACTTCAACCATGTTGGGAATCCTTAAAAACTCTGCATGAAACTGTTCCAGGAGAAAATGAGACTAGAGCCCTCTAACGAATTCCAAATGCAGTTCGGCGACAGGGGGTGGGCATTTTGCACTTTCGCTTCTTCACTACTCCGGTTTACAAGTCTCGCTCTGGTGAAACCTGCGAACTCTTGTGAAGCTGGAGCAAACTCCTCGACGCACATGATAAAACCTGTCAACTCTTGTGAGCTCACGAAATGGCTCTGTAAATGGGTCGATATGAAGTAGCAAAAGTGCAAAATGCCACCCCCCCCCACCTCATAGCCGAACAGCTTTGAATTCCATTCCAGAGGAGAAAGATGACTAAAGGAAAATCCAGCTGGCAATAATGAAGCAAACACGAGAGCGCTAATCATGAATTCGCGCTTTCGGAAGAAAATACAAACGGCTTTCGAAATATTGTCTGCGGCGAAATTTCATATGTCATCGTACAGCAGTCAGCAAGAATCGTTGTTATAAACGGCCGACTACGCAAACACAAAGTGGAAGACAAGGAGAACTGCTGAAGCTTTACCTTTCGTGTCGGTGTACTGAAGTCCAAAATACCATATTTCACGAAGACCAATCGTTTTGGACAATCTAAGGCGAAGAAATCATATCGAAAGCGATGCGAAAAGAAACACCTTTTGATTAAAAACGGCAAAGGAAGCAACAAACCTGATCGAATAATTGCTTGCCGGTGGTGTTCGACTGGATTGCGAGCTCCAGTTCGGCATCCATAGTCCTGACGCGAACATTGATCTTCAAAACAAAAAAATCATGACAACAATTCCTCAACTACTCGATACAATGGCTCTGGGCCCTAACCCGCAGGTTTGAAGCAGAACCTAATTTATGGTGGCTATATATCAGTGGGGATTTGGAAGAAACTATGCACGAATCAGCTCAGGAAACTAAGCACGAACGACAAAACTTACATCCGGAGAGGGCGCCATGGTTGCGAACGGACAAACTGCAAGCACTACTCACCCCTTCTAGCCCCGCCCCTTGTATAGCACCAATGCGGCCAGAAAATCAACAGCTATTTCGGCAAGAAAAAGGCGCTTATTCAGGTTCTTCTTTCAAAAACAACCATACCACAAGGCTCTCTTGACATTTTCATGTCACTATGACTTCAGTTTTCAGCTTGAAGCTCAAAAAGCGACCTTTTTAATACCAGTGACAAATGCAGCTTTTTTTCTCGTTTCGAAATGTAGCTAGATTTTGATGAACACTGACGATATGGAGGGGGAAGTGGTGGAATGGCAAGTGATACACTTAGCTTGCGCGCGGTCAGGGGGTTCAAATCCTGGATCGGCTCCTGCCTAGACCAACCAGGCTTCTACCTCCGGAAGAGGATTGCTTGCCACATCCCAGAAAGGGAGTGGTCAACGGCGAATACTTTATTGACCATGAAAAATATATCGCGCATGAGACCAAGTCGACTATGAAGGGTAATTTATAAAGGATTCCATGTGCAGGACTGATACTGCCATATTGTGGGACACTCTTGCGCTAAGAAACTGGTTCGTCCACCCCTAAAAATGCCTCATCACTTAAATGCATAGGATGGTGAACCGTTTTCATTGATGGCTTCCTTTATCCTGCCCGACGTTTCCACAAGGTCGCTTCGAGAGCAGATAGAATGTTTTTGGCCTATCCTGCTTATCCTCATCCCTTTTGCCTCAATCCCCGTTTTGAACAAGAAGCTCCCCTTAGGCACTTTGTTCCAGCGCAGGCACTTTTTTAAATCAAATCACCAATGTGAACAGCTCCAAAAATTAAAATGAACTTACAGCTTTTTTAGACATGTTGGCCTACACTAGTGGCACTTAGCGTGCGGATAATTTACAGACCTGGGCTTCCGACGGCTTTAGAAGGATCTGAAAATAGGCTAGTTAGGTTGAAATGTTGGCCTCGATCACGTTGCAAAAGTGAGCGTGGAAATAAAAAACTGCAGACGGATGGGATGAGCTTTGATGATAAATGCAACAATCAAGTGTAGGAATGGAATCAGAGGCGGAATGAAGAAATTAAAGCAACTTTTGCGAACGTGAACTGGTGAAGTTTCGGGCGAAAATGACAAACATGAGCCTAGTGAAGCCCTAGTTGTTTATATAAGACTAACCAGACATACTCAAAAAATGACCGCTAATATAATCGACAGACTCTTCTATCCAGACTCGACCTTTTGCTAACTTATACGGTATTTCTCACAGAAAAAGTGTTTCTTCACCTTAATTTCTCAGCTCATGTACGAGATGGCTTCGGTAGCTCTTTGGAAAATACTTCTTTGTTAGAAAAATCCCTTCTGCGAACAAATGAGCAGATCGAAAACGGGACATCGAAGTTGCCTACATTAATGCCAGAAAAAATAAACACAACTGCTATTTTTGAAATGGCACGGTACTTACCATGAGTGGCAGCTCTGACGCCTCCCCGGTTGCCCCGCCCACCTAAACTCGAAAGGTTATTTCCTCTCAAGAGTTCAGCTTCTACACCGCGTTTATCGTTTTCTCCTCTTTTTCAAATGGTATTAGTAGTGGATGACGCGAAGAAACAATTAGTTAGCCAAAGGAGGCAGAATATTCATTTGCTGGCATAAAACAAGCAGGTCCGGAGAACTCGTCCAGACAGTCTACCACGTCCTTACTCGAGGTGTTCTCCACCGTTTCTTTTTCTGTAGAGTCCTATAGAGGATATACGTTTGCAACTGATTCCGCTATCCACAATATAGCCATGGGGTATGAGGTCTATAATGTGGCAGAGGCCCTGCCTCAGTAGCTTTCCTTGGGAAGTGAGGGAAAACATTCAAAGGCTCGGCTGAGTCCATCCAATGCCCATAAGTTCTCTCCTGATAAGTGGCCAACATCGTCAGAAAGACCCCACTCCCATTTCCTGTTTGGTTCACTTCGATATTGTGAACTCTACTACTAGCACAAAAACCTAATCTGAAGGCATCCATCATACATCGCGCAGGCAGGGTTCATCATCCGTTGTTTGAAAGACAACGGGGAGTCATTTCTGGCGGTCGCGGCTTCGCGCATGCTATCTACCCCCTAGTTGGTGCTGACGCAAAACTACATTTTCTTATAGTTGATCAGTGGTGTTTACTACCCCCGTCCCCGTTTAGTGACAAAATCTTGGTGGAAGTTGGGGAGATGGTAGGTAGGGCGAGAATGAGGGGTCCTAACAAAAGAGGGAATTCCAGCGAGAGACCATTTGTAAAAATTTCACTGAATGTGATGGTGTTCCCTGTATGCAGGTCGCTCTGCTCAATGATGCAGTTTCAAGGGAACCGATGAACTAACCATAGAGCCACCACTGGAGGAGTGCTGGTGATGGAACGAGGGCAACAAAAGGAGCAGTAGACGAGCCTGGCATAAATATTTGCAGTGATAATCAGATAAGCACGAGAAAAACACAAACAAAACTATCGCTTGACTGACTGACTTATTGTAGCCAGATGAGTCACCATGCATATCTTCTGTTCAGCGCATTTCCAGTGGAAAAATGAGACAGGCGCCGTTCGCGTTAGGGGGGGAGGGTAGTCGATCTAGTGTAAAACTGGTGTTGCGCGTCAAGGAGTGAGAGATTTCTAAGAAAGAGCACAGAACTCAGTGAACCAAACTCTTCGAAAGCATGCTACTTGTTCAAATTGATTTGTTGGACGTTTTTAATACTATTTGACGAGTTGCTAAAAACACAGTAAGTAGAAGTGAAGAGAAAAGTCAGCCTGTAATGCCACATATAGAGCCCAATGCCGAACCGCGTTCGTGCGTGCATAAAGCGAAGGAAGTCGGGCGAATGTCGGGCGAGTTCTCACTTGTTGGTGCCAGCTCTTTCTCCTTATCAGCTCACTCTCACCAATCGAAATGGAGAAGTTAGACGCGGAACTGCCGCACAATCAGGTTGCAGTTGTAGAAGAATTCTGGGTGGCGCCGTGGCCAGTGGGCGGTGCCTCGGCCTCGCCGGCGAGCGGCGCTTTCATGCATTTTTGAGCTGCGAGTAGTACATCCTCTATGCTTGCAGGCAGGGCTATCACATCCAAAGAAGGTGCTTGAACATCAAGTGAATGTCGGTCATGCCCTCAAGCAAAAACGGAAACATCGTGCTACAGCAATCCAACTTGTACAAGAACTCCTGGGTGCCCCTTCCAAGACGCTTTTTCCGAAAGCGTACAGATGTAGTCACAAAGTTCTAAAATTAAGGGATTTACACCTTTTTTACTCAAGTTCAGCTCTAGTAACGAAA